TCGAAATTTATCAATTTCAGCACTTCAAATGATATTGCACAGGGCTAGAACGGTTCCAATCCCTAGAACTCTCTAGTTTCTTACAGACTTAAATCAGACCTACAACCTAAAACTCTAATTGAGTCCAGAACTCACGTTAAAGTGCCAGCAGAGCATGCCTGAAAGTGCAAAAAATCGAATATTATCAATTTCAGCACTTCAAATGATACTGAAAAGGGCTAGAACTGTTCCCATCCCTAGAACTCTTTTGTTTCTCATAGATCCGTATCAGAACTAGTAATTTTTAGTCAGTAATTTTTTTTATTATTATTATTATATGTCGGAGGATGGTGTGGGCGATGTCAAACGAGAGTCCTCTTCGTCATATATATCGGTAGAGGTATGTTTATGCAGTAATAAAACAATTAAATCTTCGTAAATAAAGTAACGTTTACTTTCGACAGTGCACCTTTACTTGTTCGCATTTTAATTAAGTCGGCATTTCCTACGGACTACTCTGAGAAGAAACGCCGAAACAAACTCAGAGGTCTCAGTCCCTTTCAAAGTTCACAAATGGTCAAAATACATCAAAGTTTAGTCCACTTACATTGTAATAATATTCACAGTTATAATCTCAAACAATATAATGTCAATGACAATTTCACAGAGTCGGCATTTCCTACGGACTATTCTGAGAAGAAACGCCGAAACAAACTCAGATGTTTTAGTCACTTTCAAAGTTTAAAAATGGTTAAAACACATCAAAGTTTAGTCCACTTACATTGTAATAATATTCACAGTTATAATCTCAAACAATATAATCTCAATGACAATTTCACAGCACTGATTCTAATGATTGCAATCATTATTCGGCCGACAGTATTCTTAGTGCGTCGTTGTTCGTTCGGAGTCCCAGCTAAGAGTGCCTGCTGTTGTGCGATGTTAAAAGTCACTCAATCTCCTCCACTCTTAGGCGGACATGACGTCACAATTAACTCTTGAAGCGCGCCATCTTTATTCATTTTGTTGTTATTCCTTCGTTTTGTAGTAAATCGAAATCCCGTACTAATGACCGTTCCGACATATATATGTAATAATTAGTAAATAATTAGAAGTATATAAGATAAGTTTATTTATTATGTACAAATAATGTTATAATAATAAAATTAGATATAAGTATAATTATATAATTATAGTTTATATTACATATACATAAATATAGTAGTTTTAATTACACAACAAATACACAACAACTTAACACTTACACAGCACGTTTTAAATACAATTTAAAATTAAATATAAACTTCTTTTATTTGTTATTATATAACAAACCGTATACTTCAATTTACTTTTACTTTTAATCTAAAAACCAAAAACTCGAAACTTATATTTTTCATTTTAAAAGTTATATTTTTCATTTTAGTTTCGACTTTTTGTTTGTTATTAGTTTTTGGTTTTTTGAAGTCGGTTTTTTAAATGCAGGTCTTATTTTATTTTTTATGATTTTCAGTGTAAAGCTACATAGATCCGTTTTGTCACTTATAATCTGCATAGGTGCAAACTTCTAATCAATACATATTATACAAGCCCAAACACAAGGTAGTTACTGTATACTGTTGAGGAGTTCCCTTGACAACTACACTTCTTCATCATCAGAGCCTTCATGACATCCCCACTCTATTTAGGTGTAAAGTCCGCATCAATACAAATTAATCAAGCCGAAATACAAGGTAGTTACTGTATACCGTTGAGGAGTTCCCTTAACAATTACACTTCTTCATCATCAGACATTTTAATGACAGCCCCACTCTATTTAGGTGTAAAGTCCTCATCAATACAAATTAATCAAGCCTAAACACAAGGTAGTTACTGTATACCGTTGAGGAGTTCCCTTGACAATTACACTTCCTCATCATCAGACCCTTAATGACAGCCCCACTCTATTTAGGTGTAAAGTCCTCATCAATACAGATTAATCAAGCCTAAACACAAGGTAGTTAATAT